TCACATTTTCTCTATAAGTATAAAACCACTTATCCACCTAAGTATTCTCATCTCAATAACTCTTACTAGACCACTTTCACAATATATTTTAAGAGTCTACCTAAAAATTGTGAGGATGATGATGCTTTTATTTATGATTGGCTCTTCACTCGGAGATAAAATATGATAGAAATATATTTGTGCAAATGCTAGTGTAGCTAGAGTGGCCTATAATATTAGAGGGAGTTATCTTAATGGATTCAGAATCAATGTTCGACCAATAATGTTCTTCGATGGAACTAACATTACTAAAATGTCAAACGATCTGACTTATAACAAATCTAATTTTCAGATCTAATATTGTTTGTCACCATAGGTACACCAAATCTCTCCTGAATTTATTTCTTTTATTTTCCAAATGGAAAGTCAATCATACCTCTAAGCATAATCGTCGCCGCAAACCTTATACACGATTGACTGCTTACCCGGAAATAGGATCTTAGAAGAAGATATTTCATATGATGCGGGATCTTTCACTACATCATCACACATGAAGTTTAATTTCCACAATAGAGTGAAAATTCACATCAAAATCTAAGTTGTCAATTACAAAATGGAAATTCACTTCAAAATATAGTTTGCATTGTCAAAATGGGAATTGTGGCAATTGAATTTAGATTTAAATGTGAATTTCCATCTTGGAATTGACAAATTAGATTTCTTATTGAATTTCCATTCGAGTTGTGAAAATTAGACTTCGCACTGGGTGATGCAGTTAAAAATCTTACATAATATGAAATATTTACTTCTAAGAACATATTTTTAAATATGCAGTCAAACGTGTAAGGGGTTGCAATGACGAAAAATGTTTACTTTTATGATTGGCTTTACAGTTTAAAATAAAATACGAAACAAATATACTCGTGATAGGGTTGGAGTAGTTACAGTTGTAGACAATATTAGAAAGAGACATCATGAAATCTAAATAAACCATCAGAATAATTTTTTTCTTAATGCAAAATAATAATTACAACTAAAAAATTGACTGATTTTAATTTTGACTTGGATTTCTTTAGAGTCGACAACAGTTAAGCTCGAAATCAAAACGTTAACAGCCTACTGAGGCTGTTTGGGTTGTTGAAGATCAGAAATCAATGAACATTTATCAATATTTGATCTCTAAGTTTGTTTGTCACCATAGATACACCAACTCATTCACAAGTATATTTCGTTCACATTTTCCTTGCATATGTAAACCTAATGATCCATACAGGATTCATGATTTGCTTTTCACTTAAAGACCAAATATGAAACAAATATATTTGTGAGAGAGCTGGTGTAGTTATAGTGGCATACACTATTTGGGAGAAATGTCTTAATCAATTGTGAGCCAATGTTTGACCATTTAATGATTTTCGATAATACTAACATTACTAAAATGTTAAACGATCTGACTTCGAGCCGAGATGTAGATTCTAAATAAATTTAATCTAAAATTTTGGCAAGTAGCAGGACGTGTTTATTTCAGTCTAAGTTTCATATATAAGTCAAACTTAGAATCAATTTCCGAGCGATTATCGTTTTTCAAGCTAATTTCACACTCATAGACTATGTTCCGCCAAAAATATCAACTTGCATATAAATTAGTTTTCAGGATTTAACCAAAAATCCTAAGATTTGATAATTCCAGTTTCACGGAAATTTTTAAATCCTATTCAAACAAAATCCTATTTTCAACCAAACAAATCCTTAATATAAGAATTTTTAAATCCTATTTTCAACCAAACAAATCCTTAATATAAAAACCAACATTTTATAAAACAGAACATTATAGGTCTCACCAAAATCTTATAATATATTTTTTTAATTCTAAGCAGTATTTTCTATCACAAAATAGGTTGGATGCATTCCTCTACTTCAAACAACCAACTTGAAATCTAATAATCACATCCTCATCAATATCACCATCACTTTGAAAAAGAGACCTGAGATATCTAAAACACTGACATCTTTTAATAATTTGATCACCCGTCTGTCACTAGAGCTTCTACCACTAAAATTAAATTTTATGTTTTTAGTTCTAGATCAACTTAAATGAATGTCTTTAAACTCCAATGTCAACCTCCATAATTGAAGTTTCGGGGCAATTACATACAGGGCACCAAAAACATTGCTATTTAAAAATCAAGCGCCCTCTTTCATCAATTTTTCGAATTCTCACTGAAATATCGAAGGTAGTGATAAAACCCCAACCCTTGTTTTTATTTTTATGAAATTCACAATGGCTTGATTGTGGCATGCGTAAATGCGTCACTTTTTCTAAGGGGCTGTTAAAGCGAGATTTAGCCGGGCTTTAAGTTAAATCTTGACAGACGATCATTTTGGACTAAATAAATCTGCGTATTTGATAAATCTGAATTTCATGGATTTTGGTTGTAAATCCTAGATTTACTAAATCCTACAAATTGGTGGATTTTACTTTGCAGGGCTTGGGATTTTAGTTCATAGGTTTTTGATTGTCTCCCCCGACCATAACTACATCCTAAATCTTAACTAAAATTGCCAAACAGTTCAATCGAATTTACAAAATTTAGAAAATCCATTGCCCCACAGATTTTCAGCTTTAGCCCATTCAGAATTTTGTAAATTCAAATTTACAAGATTTACTAAATCCTGATAACTTAAATCACATTTGTTGCCAAACATCCCCTAAACTCTTTCCATAATCTTATCCACAAGAAGGATATCACAGCAAAAAGTATACACCAACATAAATCTTCCCGTAAATCTCTAGTAAGAGCATCCATAACTAAAGCAAACATGTATGGGCATAAAGCCAATCCCAAATGTAATCCAAACAAAATAAGATAATATTTAGGGCCTGTTTGGCAACGACTTCAGGCAAGGATTTAAGCGAAATCTTATCAACCGATCATTTTGCCTGTTTGGCAACGACTTCAGGCAAGGATTTAAGCAGGATTTAAGCGAAATCTTATCAACCGATCATTTTGAACGAATTAAATCTAGTGCTACGGTAAATCTGGATTCCGTGAATTTTGCCCTTAAATTCTGGATTCACAAAATCCAATGAATTGGTGGATTTACCTTCGCATGTTGCTGCTTTAAAGAAAATTTGTCAAGAAATTGCCAAATATTTTTAAGGTATTTAACAGGATTCACTAGATCCGCTGCCAAACTGTTTTTGGGATTTAACCCTCTATGGATTTACTTAATTTGGATTTACAGGATTTACTAAATCCTAATAAATTCAATCCAAATTTTTGTTAAAGAACACGTTAGTCCTGCTTGCTAAACCCTAAACCCTATACACATTTTTGGAAATAATTGAAAATTAAAAAGCAAATGATGATGAGTTACCTTCCTCAATCGTTTCGGGCAGGACATAAGCGGGAGGAGGAGAAAAATGGGAGTTTGCAGTCACTATTAGCCTCAGTCTCGTCAGTTCGTTCTCAGCTAGCTCGTATGACGATCGTACCTGAGCCTTCGATGAAGAAGGCGATGATTTTGGACAATATAGAGAGGGGGGTTGGGTGGGGGGAGGATACGAGGGTTTCGGGAAGAGGAAAGAGATTCAGAGAGGCTTCAGTATAAGGAGGGAGAGAGAAGGAATTAGGGCAGAAAGGGAGGGCCGCGATTTTGGTTGTATAAAAGATTATTTCTGACGACTTATACACGAATCTATCGGTTCTTAATCCTATTACCGATGACAATTCACCAGATATTATAAAAGGCATCGGTTAATCTCACACGAGATGGTTGGTTCGAAGATAACCGACGACATATAACCATTAATTAATATTTGAATACGATCAATGACTTATTGCATCGGTAATAATAAAAACCTTCAAAAAAGAATTGTTGTTTATAACCGATGACAATTCTGTAGTCATGCCGTAGCAAATAACCCAAATATAAAACGTCGCCAGGTTGTCAATAATTTACATTATAACTGAAGGATAAAACAGTCGTTTCTTAAAAAAAAAGACTTCGAATAGCACCTGACGGATTCGTGTATAACCGTCTCAATATGTACGTCATTTAATATCTACTTTAAAACCAACACTTTAATGCATCGTAAATAATTAAAGCTGTTGGAAAAAATAAATTACTATTTATAAGCACGACTAATCTTGTTGTTATGCCATCACAAATTATGAAGATCATAATCTGCTGCTACAACCTCAATAAATGAACATTTTTTTAATAAACTTAGGCTCTTAACGCATTTTTCTGTAGTCAATGTGTCGTTAACCAAATTGAATTTTGAGTACAATACTTTGCCTTCATTAATTGATCTAATAAACAAGTAATTGTGTGCAAAATAGATTACAAGTCATAATTTTCTTCCACTAATGATATTTCTTCTTTATCAAAAAAAACAAAGCATATATAAGAAATAAAATATCAAATCACATTTCTCCAAGGTTTAATAAATCCTTTTTCTTATATTTTTTCGATCCTTCGAAGGGCTCAGTAAAAATGCAAAGCCTCATATCATAACTAAACAAAATCCACAATCTATACATATTAATAAAATTTATGAAACAAGGACTGAGCCAACGCAACGAAGAAGCTTGTAAGAACAAGTAAAATGAAAATTAGGTGAATTGAATTACATATAATTTACATATTTACAATTTGGAATTGAACGATTCCATGCTTTCTTGTAGACTCGGAACTCTCACCTTCAACAACTCTCTCCCACTTTGCTGTCCAAAAAAATTTATCTTACACTACCAACTGAAGAAAGACAAGAAGTCAGATAACTATAATATAAAGATTTATTGAATATATTGAAGTTTTTCGGATTTCTTGAGCTAGCTCTCATCTTTTTCCAAACCTGCCATGCGGTAACTTGAGCAGTCACGCCATTTTATGAGGTCCCACTTGCACTTCTGAGTTAATAATTTATTTAGTAATTAGAGCGTAGAACTAATCCTTGCCTGCAACACTATATAAACATGGATGGCCTTTGATATCTTACAAACCCAATTCTTAGGGAGCAGGAAGAGTTTCTACGTGTAACATTATCTCTCTTGTTTGCTGTAGAAATTACCTTCATGGCTGGATCAGCATTTTTCATGGCCTGTGCCATCTTGGTGCTCTTCGGTTTCTGTGTGGAAGCTGAGTTGGTGCAGCACACTTTCAAAGTAATGTTTCCATATCCCATTAACTCATTGTTTTTTTTTTCCCCTTACATTTATACCTTCTAATTATTTCATATCATATCAAAAGTATATCACTTTAATGTATAACTTTAAAAAAAGAGTAAAATACATCTTTTTCATGCATAAAAAATGTGATATATGTATATAAGTATTATTAAACTTTGTACATTTTTAAAATAGTTATGAATTTAGAGGCCCTTCTTCCCAATCAATCCTGATTTTGAGATTGTTCAAATGAATTGTTATCATCACAAAATAGTCATTAAGCTTACCAGTGATAGGGTTGTTATAGAGTTCGCTCAATGAGTGCATTGACAATAATCATGGAAACTTCAAACCCTTCTAATTGTTTTCATTTACAAATTAGTCACAAGTACTTGTTTTACTTAGACGCGCAATTAAACGTGGCAAATAGACTTTCTATTATTTAAATGCTTGTAATTGTTTCAAAGATAATTCAGACTAATCAAACGTGATGAAAATTAAGCAAATTAGCATACATTTTTATTGAGCATCTAGAATTGTGATTTTTTTTCTTATAATTACATAGCGCCCGGAAGATTGATATTTACAAATCAAGTACTTAAGTGATTTTTGAACTACTAAACCGATGAATTTAAACACGTCACGATCAAGTCAATGAGAATTTGATGAAAATAAAAAAATATGGGTTAGCTCTCTTTTTATTCTTAGGGTGGAAATTGGGTTATAGTGTTAAATAGATCGGAAATTAATGATTAGAATGTGTTTGGTATCTGAGTCTCTTAATTAGAGAAAAATTTCTCCAACTTCTCTGTACTTTGTTTTGGACAAAATGTTTTACTTTTGAAAATTCATGAGTAGAGGGTTGAGAGAGAGGGGGGATGGGCCTTCCATTCATTTTAGTTACATTGAAAAATAAATTTGATAAACATTTACTAATTATGGAGTTTATAAATGATAACTTTTTTTCTCAAATCAATCATCAACAACTCTTTTTAATTTAGGCGATGTCCAAAAGTTAGCTAATTTGAGCTGACCAGATCAATTAAATAAAGCATAACACAATTTGATTGTGGGGTTTCTATCATTATCTCAATTATTTATTGCAGTTACAGTAGAAAAAAAATTATATTAGCTATAATAGTTTATTTTGACTCAAATCTTATAATCTGTTGTTTATAAACGTCAAAACAAGTTTAATTGTTAAAAGAATATATTGCTGAGATAATTTAAGAAAAAAATTACCAAAAAAACATGACCAGCAAACATTATGTAAATTCAAAAAAAAAAAAAAAAAAAAAAAAAAAAAAAAAAAAAAAAAAAATTTTTTTGGGAAAAAATTGGGTGGTGTTAGATATGTAAATACAAAGGAATTGAGGGGTATGTATGTAAATTTCCCAATGTTTTTATGTAAATGTCCCAATTCTGAAACCGAGTCACTGTCACATTACATCTAAAACGCAACTCCCGTAACGAATTAGGTTTGAACTCTGACCGTGCTTTATATTTAGTTGGGCTACCTTTGTTCCATCATGCCAACAGCATCCAACCAACACATGTAAGATACTTAAAAAGCTTTTTAGTTTGTTGTAACAATAAATAAAATAAAGTTTATCCAACAAATGTATTTGCTTGTTTCAAAAAATCATTTGTTTTAATCTGATTGAGATGTTTAGCCTAACGATTAATTAATTTATGTTTTTTAATAAGGTTGTTAATATTTTATTTAGGTGAGTAATATGATGGTGAGAAGGTATTGCAAGAACAAAACCATCACAGTAGTGAACGGTGAATATCCAGGCCCAACTATCACTGCCCATGAGGGTGATTCATTGGCCATTCAAGTCATCAATGAGTCCCCCTACAACATCAGCATCCATTGGTAAGTCCAATTTGTATTTTTTTTCAATAATACCCCTTATTTTTTATTATTTAGGAAAGAGTAGGTTTAATTATATGAATGATGGCAGGCATGGAATATTCCAGCGGATGACCCCATGGGCTGATGGTCCAAACTACATAACCCAATGTCCCATTACGCCGGGAAATAGCTATACATACAAATTCAACGTGGTAGGACAGGAAGGCACGCTCTGGTGGCACGCTCACGTCTCCGTCCTACGTGCGACAGTGTACGGAGCACTTATTATTCTTCCGAGAGCTGGTGTTGTTGGTTATCCGTTTCCCAATCCCCACAAAGAAGAAACCATCCTTCTTGGTTTGTGTTCATATTTCATTTTCTTATATATAGTTTTTTCAAAAAATAAAAAAGATTTTACGCAGGCTAAAGCAAGCAAATTTTGAAATATATAACAATAAAAATAGTAACAGTAAATTTAATTGTTCTATGGTTGTTCAGGAGAATGGTGGAAAGCAGATGTTATAACCCTACAGAACAGAGCACTTGCAAGTGGGAGTGCATTCAATATCTCCGACGCATACACCATCAACGGCCACCTCGGCGATCTCTATCGCTGCTCTAACAAACGTAAGCTAAAAAATTGATCTAATCACACTATTATGACAAAATATTATGTCCGATTAAATAAATATGTCAATAAAGCTGCACCACACATTTGACAGTACGATATTATTCATGTCGTGTCATCTGCATCTTTATTATTCGGATGTAATATTTTGTCCCCCATCAATAAATTTTTTCAGATTTGTGCATGAAAAAAATAAATAATGATATAACATATATTCTTATTTTAATTTCTTTTTCTTGCAATGGTTTATTAAACAGACTATATTAGCATTAAATGAAGCACCGAAAACATTGCTATTTATAAATCAAACATCTTATTTCATCCCATTTTCAAATTCTCACTCTAATAATAAAGATGGTGATAAAGCCCCAACCCATATTTCTCATTTTTATCAACTTCAAATACATCAGTTGTTAAAATCAACTTAATATTTTATTTGTAAATAGCAATGTTTCTTCTGCTCATTATGTAATTATTCCTAAATTTGTACACTCCGATGAATTCAGATACACACAAGCTGGAAGTGGAGCAAGGCAAGAGCTACCTCCTCCGCATCATCAACGCCGCGCTCAACACCCAATTCTTCTTTAAAATCGCCGGCCACCGCCTCACAGTGGTCGCCGCAGATGCCTCCTACACCTCCCCTTTCTCCACCGACACCATCGCCATCGCCCCCGGCCCAACCATCGACGCCCTGCTCCACGCCGACTCCCACCCTTCCAACTACTACATCTCCGCCCTCACCTACGCCAGCTCCCCCGCCATCCCCTTCGACAAGGCCGCCAGCCCATACGCCAGCGCTCCCCCCTCCGCCTCCCCTTTCGACAACACCACCACCGTCGCCGTCCTCTCTTACAAAAGCTCACCCCCGTCCTCCTCCCCTCCCATAATGCCTCCCCTCCCCGCCTTCAACGACACCCCCACCGCCCACCACTTCTACTCCAACCTCACCGCCCTCCACCCCAACTCCGTTCCCCTCCAAATCGACCAGCGCATGTTTGTCGCCTTCGGCCTCGGCCTCACCCCCTGCAGCGTTAACCAACCCCTGTGCCGCGGCAACGCCATATCCGCCAGCATGAACAACATCTCCTTCAGCTTCCCCACCACCGTTTCGATGCTTGAAGCACACTTTCGTAAGATCCGAGGGGTGTATACCAAAGATTTTCCTAACCGCCCTCTGGTGGCTTTTGATTTTTCGAATCCCAGTGTTAATAATCAGGGGTCGTTTCAATTGACGGATAAGGGGACGAAGGTGAAGAAATTGAAGTACAACGAGACGGTGGAGGTTGTGTTGCAGAACACGGCGGTGCTGGCGGCGGAGAACCACCCGTTGCATCTTCATGGATATAATTTTTATGTGGTGGCGCAGGGCTTTGGTAATTATAACAAGAAGGAGGCGAGGAAGAACTATAATTTGGTAAACCCGCAGGAGAGGAATACGATTGCGGTGCCGGTGGGTGGATGGGCGGTTATTCGATTCAGGGCTGATAATCCCGGTGAGCTCTATCTTCAGTATTAAATTATTCTTATTTCTAAAAATGAGAAAATGGGTACGCAGTCAGATAAAATGAAGAAAATTATTTAGAAGATGTATTTTTAATTAGAGAGTATTTAAGAAAAGGTTTTAGTTAATATATAACTGATTAATGTGCAGGTTTGTGGATCATGCACTGCCATTTGGATGGACATCTGTCGTTGGGCCTGGCGATGGTATTTGAGGTGGGGAACGGACCTACGCCGTCGACGACGGTCCCCCCGCCGCCGCAAGATTACCCCACCTGCTGATGAGAGATATTTTGAGAAGAAATGAAAAAAAGCTAGTTGTTTTATTGGATTTAGAGGAGATGCAATTGCTTTAAGATTGGGTGCTTTTGAGTTGTTTTTTTTTTTTCAAGTTTCTGGTTATTACTTGTAATTTGTAAATTTATATTTTTTCGGTATTATACAATAATAGAAAGTTTATAGTAATTGAGCAATGCTGCACTTTCATATAAAACAGCAGACAGTAATTTTGAAATTGTAGCGGCACAATTCGTAAGTATTTACAAATCTCACATCGAAACTTTTATATTGACCATCGGCTTTTAGTTTGTTAATAACCGACGGCCACATCCGTGGGTTAACATTTTGACACCCGTTAGTTATTGGCTTTTATGGCCGTCATCAATTCATTGCTGATGAAGACGAAAGACCAACACACCCATAACCGTCGATTTTAGGCTTAATTGAACATATTCATAATAAAAATATATGTAACAAGCATAAATTTATAATGAAAGAAATTAGATTTTTTCAAGATAATTTAGAAAGCTTTGGTTAAATAATTTCTCTTTTCATGTAAAAAGAAATATGACCTATTAAGCATTTCAAGTTTCAACCAAGAGCACAATGTTCTTTTTTTTTTTCAAGATAATTTAAAAAGCTTTGGTTAAATAATTTCTCTTTTCATGTCAAAAGAAATATGACCTATTAAGTATTTCAAGTTTCAACCAAGAGCACAATGTTCTTTTTTTTTTTTTTTTTTTTTTTGCTCCAAGGAAACTGAAATATTTGGAAAGAAGTCCTGATCAGTGACAATTGTTGATAAAGGAAAATAACCAATTAAGATACATGCAGAAAATTCCCATCAGTCATCATCACAGCATGCTTGACAACAGACACAATAGTATGGCCAGTCCAGCTAGAAACTGCTTTAGAGAGGATCACTCCGAGCAGAGAATAAGAGAGTATCTTTGGTAGAATGACAGAAAGTAGTGTATTCCTTCAAAGATGAAGCGATATCCAAGATGTTCATAAGTCTGACGAAGAAGCCTGAGTTCAGATTACCAAATCCAAGGAAACCCAAAGAGGTCAACAAGAAAGATCAATCAAACTATTGCCCGTATCACAGGTTGCTTGGACACACTGTAGAGGAATGTTTCAACTTTAAGGAGTGGCTCCCGAAAAAAATTAAAAAAAAAAAAAAAAAAAAAAAAAAAAAAATCTATAAAGATGACAATCATCCAATTGCTTTTTAAATGGGAATAACTGCACCTTCGTACTCATAACATATTGATCTCATCAAACTTTTTTTTTCAATCAAACATATAAACTGTCACAAATTTTCAGATCTTTACAAGTGAGTTTGGGGCGGCAGTACGACTGCGGTGTGGTGCCGCACTACAATTCTTCTTGTTTGGCAATACTGTTTTTTGTCCGAATTCACAAAAAATTGCAACTAAAAGCTGTGTTTTTTCATCATATTTGGCTGCTTGTAGTGGTTGCTAAAAAAATGTAGTATGACTTTTTCAAAAAAAAAAAAAATTGTAATAACTACTACAACTTTTTAAACAGCAACTTCGCGACTGCTTCTTCAAACAGCTGTAGTTGCCTCAAACAAACCGTAAGTGTCTTAAGTTTTTGAACTATGAGAACTTTCATATATAAAGTCAAACTCAAAAACTTTATGAAACTTTTAGTAACCAAATATTTTTTATTCGTATATAATTAAACTCAATTAGATAAATCCAACAATTCCTTGATTAATAAATTTTGACATCATTTATTTTAAATTTTAAGATATATAATAAGTAATATTTGATTAAGGAGTATGTGATTCAGGAGGGCCAGCATAATACATTTGATAAAGTGCTCTAAATTATCTTCAAAATGACTCGAATATCTCCATAAATCTATAAATAGACCTACTTCCAAACGTGAGAAGAAAGCAAGAAAAAATCACAAAAAGGATTCCTGAAGGAAGAATCAAATTTTGCCTGCTGGCTCCCAACATCAGCTATCATCATCAAGGCAAAGAAAAGAGTTAGCATTCGATAAAGAAACCTCCAGTGAATACCTACAAGTGGAGAAATTATCACTTTCGGCGACTGCGCATTCGGACGATTCACGGAGATGCGTTCGCATCAGGACCGTCGTTTGAACGTGCAAACACTCAGCCACACGTAGTTTTCCCTAATGGCAACTATTGAAAAGGATGATTTCTCACTAGAATTTATTTATTAATTTTTATTTTCTTACACAAGCAAATGCAATTATAATTTACAATTAATAATATTCATAACTTGGGTTTGAGTCTTTAATTTCTGCAAGACTCAATTAGTCATATAATGCAGGACTATAAAATGGTTTACCAACTCATCGAGCCAATAGGCGAAAGTATCTTAACGAGTGTATTTTAACATTTTATTTACATGTTGCTTTTGCTTGTTCCCAATCAAGATATTCACGCACCAACATTCTTCAGAAGTCCTCAATATCAGTATATCACTCAACCACACCTAGGGCGTGCAGTATTTGGTCAAAGCCGAATAATCTAGCCAAAAATCAAAACAGAAAAACTGAGCTGTGATCGGTTCGATCCGGATTAAAAATTTAATTTTAATTTTTTAAATTTTTAAATTTTAATAATTAATGTTTGGTTTCTGGTTCTACGTTAATTTTCATTTAATCGGACAAACAGAACAACCGAAATTTATTTAAAATTTTTATTATATTTTAATTTTATGTCGAATAAATTAATAAAATTAAAATTTTTATTATATGTAATACCAGATTGAAATGAATAGAAGATTTATGAAGTTAAATCGATATTATGCAGATCAATTATTTTTGTTATTTGTCAAAGTCGAATAAATAATAAAATTTTGGTTTGTTCATAATTGAGGGGTTCAAATTTGGGCTGTCAATTTGGCTTGTTGTTCGCGAACAGCTCGTGTTCGGCTCGTTAAGTAGCTCAAGTTCGACTCATTCGTTAAGCGTAACAAGCCGAACATGAACAAATTTTTAAGCTCGAAATGTAAACGAGCCGAACACGAGACAAAATTTATTCACTCGTGTTCGGCGTGAATTGACTCGAATATATATAATAAATATTCATAAAATTAAATATGATAAATTATCATTAATTACTTTTTAGACAAACAATTTTTTTAGAAAAAAATATTATTTTAATTTTATTTAAAAAAATTCATCATTACAATAATTTTATATTTTGACGAGCCAATTTCAAGCCGAACACGAACATGAATAAGTTTTTTGAGACAAACACGAACACGCTATTCACAAGTTATTTCAAACATGAGCCAATTTCGAACACAAGCCAACTTCAAACGAGTCGAACACAAGCCCAACCTAAGTCAGGCTCATCTCGTTTACAGCCCTAGTTCAAACCAAATTAAATTTCAGTTCGGTCGGTTCGAGTTTATCAAAATTTAAACTAATTCGGTTTTCAAATTCTGAATTTCAGTTATAACTAGTTTGATCAATTTTATAATCAAGCGAATGCGCATCCCCAACCACATCCACGTGGCTGTTGCTACCACATATGAGTATAATTGGGTTGGATCAATGTCGTTGTCTCGAACTAACTAGTTGGAGTTAGACTAGTTGTAATTATTAAATATGTGATATGATAAATTTTGACTCCTAAATAATAAACAACGTGTCAAAAATAAGTTTAATTAATTTGTATTTTTAAGTCAAAGTCTTGTTCATTTGGTTGCTTGAAGTTTAAAAAAACTTGAATTTAAAAATGGAATATTTTAGATCCATTGCGTAATTACTTAAACATAATTAGGAAATAACATTTATTTTTAAGCTTTAAACGACGCCTTCAAAATTGACTTATTTAAAAATAATTTTTATTTTTGAAAGAGAATTTTGATGTAATTTAGGAGTAAGTTTATTTTGAATAAAATTACCCTTTTGTTCGCTATGTAATGCATTAGATTAGGAGTGTAAACGAGCCGAACACGAGCTGAGCATGAGCCCGTGTTCGGCACGTTTATATTTCAAGCTAAAAAAGTGTGTTCGTGTTTTGGCCGCCTTCTCTTGGTGGCGGCCACCAGGGGGGTTTCCACAAAAAAAAGAGTGTTCACGAACAAAGAGTCATTTTAACAACCCTAATCATGTAACCACAAGCCGAACACGATTTAAAAATTATTATTTATATTAAAACATCATTTGAATTTAATTTTATAATTTTTATTCTATTTTCTTAATCAATATTTTAATTGGTTATAAATCATTGTAGCCTTGTAGTCAATTAGATTTTTTTTTAAAATACTACTTTATATATATATATACGTATGTGTATATATATGTATATGTATATATATGTATATATATGTATATATATCTATATATATATGTATATATATATATATATATATATATATATGTATATATATATATATAGAGAAATTAACGAGCCGAACACGAGCTCTTCGCGAATAACGAGCCGTTTTGACAGCCCTACATTAGATAATGCAAATAATTAAAATGTAATGCAAATCAAACGAAGAACCCAGTTCAAAATAAACAAGGTTTAAATAAACAAAATTTCAATGGAAGATTTACAAACATACCCAGAATTCATATGTATTTACATACCTAACACTTAAACTTCAATTTTTACATACAATAAATACGCCTTACCTATGCACGAAAAGGTGTGTTTTACTTCTTAAAATTTAAAATAGTGATATTTTTTGTGTGATATGTAAGATTTAGATGGTATAAATGTAAAAATTAAATTTTGGATGTTAGATGTGTAAATACATAGGAATTCAGTGGTATGTATGTAATTGCCCTTTTTATAATATCTATTTTGTGCCTGGATTTCAAGCATTAGTTCTTAAGCTAGTTTCAGAGAAGTATCAAATAAGGTATGAGCCATAATCAAATAAGATTCAAATCTGGCTTCTACTATTTCAAATTCATGTAAACATAATTGAGGTTATGGAGGCTAATTTAAAGAAATAGAGATAGTTGAGGAGAAAAGAAAATTAATGGAAATATTTTTAAATGTTTTTTTTCTCCTTATCTCCAATATCATTTGTAAATCAAGCTCTGATAACTTGTGCTTATCATAGTTTGTATAACTCTATTTGCTTGCCTATTGGTGCTGAGCTGATTTGTCGAGCCATGGGAGCTCTTGTTGTGTTTTTATACTGTCGCTGGTT